CCTTATATTTCCATAGGCCACAACCACAGGTCAGTGTCTAATCCATCTGAGCTTCCTCATCTGTGGACACAGGAATCCTTATTGCACTTGGCAGACTTGTGGCAATGTCTTCAGCTTCTGATTCAGATCCTGTTCTTAAGTATGGGAGAACTCAGGGGGAGCTATGAAGCTGAGCTATGTGCTTAATTTTTCTCTGGATGGTGTCTGGAAATAATGAGCAAGATGTAACAGTGTTAATTTAATTCTCCCCAATCAGAAAGATGTCACTATATGGAGTTAAGGTGAGGGGCACTACCAGTGTTCATCATACTCATCACAGGACACCCCTGAAGAATACTATACCAAAAGCATCTGTCCTAAGTCACTCACACAATAAAACAAAATGTCCCAATATGGACAAGTAGGGAGGGAGAAGTGTCCATAGGGGGAGGAGGGAAGTAGGAGAAGGGTGGGAGAGAGTAACCAGGATGCAATGTATATGCTTATGAAATTGTGAAAGAAATAAGTTTAAAAAGGAAAGAAAAACAGGGCTGTTACACAGAGAAACCATGTTTGAAAATCTCACTCCCCAAAGAAAGAAAATGAAAACCAAAGCCTCAACTCTATTTCTGTATCTGTGAGGATTGAGAAAGCAGTCTTAAATGAGTCTTGTGTACAGTTCTACTCATGTGAGTGGAAAGGTGAGGACTATATGTTAATGGCAAGTGAGCTCAGAGAAGTAGAAGAAGAAATCTCAGGATCCTCAGAATCTACTGTTGAGCAAACACATAGAGTATGGGATGTCCCCTATTTCTTCCTTGAAGATACCAGCAAGGGGACTAATAAAATGCAATGAGCAGAACCTCAATTCTGCAAAGGTGAGTTCTTTTTCAGTCTCTAAAGACTCTAAGTGGGAATGAGAAGGACGGCCTCTAAACAGGGAAACTCAGAGTCCTGCTGTCAGGCCTGAGAAACAAAAGTTGCAGATTCATGTAAGGCTTGGCTAGATTGTTTGCTGTGTGACCTAGAAAGGTATGGGCTTTCTGTGGAGGCTGGAGGGCTTCAATAAATATAATGATCTGGGCTGTGGTGGTGTACCCCTTCAATACCAGCACTCAGGTGGCAAAAGCAGGGGGATCTCTGTTAGTTCAAGTCCAGCCTGATGTACAGAGTGAGTTCCAGGACAGCCAAGGCTACACAGAGAAACTCTGTCTCAAAAACAAAACCCAAAAAAAATAATAATAATAAGTACAGTGAAAAATTACTTGGGTCTGCTAGACCACTCCAGAATAAAAGCAGGACAACAAAAATCCTATTTTCAGCACTGTGAGCCAGACAGCAATCTGTTAAACTTTATGTCATATATAGACTTTCACTCCAATGATTAAGAAATGGGAGGGCAGTGTTTGCTGCTGGCAATTTTGAATCAATAGAGGAAAGGATCCAAGGACAAGAAGAAACTGTTCCTGATTGTGATGTACCAGACAATGTTGCAACCTTGTTGCTCTTATATCTCTAGGAAACCTGAGAGGTTTGTCTAAAAGCTGAAAGGAAAGCTCCAGTTGAGGAGGGACAAGCAATATAGGACAAGGGATACAAAATGGGGGGATTTAGGAGGACTTGAGAAATGGATGGAGGCGTAGAGGGGAAAGTGGGGCATATGCTACAATGAACTTCAGAGGCTCACACAAGGTACTTTGTGAGTGTAAAGGGACTGAAATGAGTGTAAAGGTTTGAGGAGGCTTGAGTACAGTGAGGAATTACAGGCTGCCTTACATATTGAACTGACAGTGGGGTTCCTTAGCAACCTGGCCCTGTTGTCAATCTTCAGAGCCAGCACCAGAGCGGATGTGGTCTACTCTCACTTCCTATTGGAAGGGGAGAAACTGGGTTGTTGGTGCTCTTTTCAGAGGTGCTGTGTCTGTGCCCATAGACCAGCTTGCTATCAGCAAGTCCAAAAGGAGCCTTCAGTCAAGGTAAGGAACCTCAATATGTACTAAGTAGAGCATACCCCTCAGATAAGCAAAGGGGCAGCACTTAATTCCATCCCTGGATCAGCGGGTTTATTCTGAGAAAGCCGTGGATTGCAGTATGTCTTGGAAGATCTCAGAACAGAGAGGGCACCTTGATCTTGGAAAGGAGCCCTGACACTGAAGATGGTGTGGTGATATCCTAGACCATAATTAAAGCCAAACTTTGGACCCTAAGTGATAAGGAATGCTCATTCTAAACAATTGTGCTTCCACACTCAGCTCTGCCCCATTACACTGGGCTTTAGAAGACTCATGGAGATTAGGCAAGTAAATATGGAGCAATCTGACTAAATCTTCAGAGGTTAGGGATTTTGTACCACTCCCTCACCCCCCAAAAGAAAAAGAAAACCCAAACTACAACAGTAAAAACAACTTCGTTTCAAAACAAAAAAGAAGAAAACTAAAAAGGGCCCAAATATCTTGTATTTAGACAGCAGAGAAGTGTGTGGGAGGGATGCAAAGGCAAGAGGAGATAGTTTCAAAGAGCAAGGCCATCCTGAATTGTGTAGGGATACAATGTTTTAAGTACAAGACACAGAACAAGGAAAACACAGAAGGCTTTAATCCTCTATTTAAGAATTATACACAATTTTACACATGAGATGTTTATGAGGGAAAAAAACAGTCTCTGAAGAAAAGGAGGCAGGGAAATCAGAGGACAATAGCCAATGAATATGAACAAACTCCAATATATATATGTAAAGTTCTATGCTAGATCACATTTTTAAAGTATACAAAAAACAGTTAAGACTGTTTAAGCATAGTGGTATATTACAAGGGCTGGAAACAAAATGAAATATTGAAATCAGAAAAGGGCTTAGTAAGTCTTGTGATGGATCTGACAAAATAAAGTGTTGTCTCCTTTTCCCCAGAGGTAGTTTCACAAAATCAGCTACGGTGGGCTCACTGAGTATGTTTGCTTGCTTAAGCATTGGTTTGCAGTGCCTAACAGGAGTGAAGTGTGTGACAATGAACTATGATGAGGAGAGCACTTTCAGATAGAAGAGATCCATTTAGAGCCCCAGATTTGTTGTGAGCTATGAACATGCTGGCATTATTAGCCGCAGTCACTACTCTCAAGGCATTTTCACCTTCAGAAAGCAAAGAGACTAGCTGCCACTTTCAACACTTCACTCATCTCTTTATTTTAGCCCAAAGGATGAATATTCTCAGTCTAAAAAGTTTAACACAGAGTGGGTGATGCCAGGGTTTACTAGAAGCTGAGGCAAGGAACCTGAAGGAAGGTTGAAGACTTCAGAGAGCCCAAACCAGAAAGGGCTTGCTAATTCTCAGCACTCAGTGTACCCAGTTAGTGCAGTGTACTGAAGCTGCCTGAAGCTTTCTCCCTCAGGGATACAGGGAACCTTTGAGCTGTCAAATGAGAATAGCAGAGGGGAGTGGCTCAGAAACTAAAAAGAGTTGATATAATCCTGGAACCGAAGGTGCTTAAACACTAGAAGATAGGGAGCCTGGTTGAACCTCAGCACTGCCTGTAGGCTACTCTGGAGACCAGGAGCTCTGTGGGTTTGTGGAAAGTTAAAGGAATATTAATAAAAGGCAATATATTAAAAACATAATCAAGGCGGTTATAATCTCTCATTTTTTCTGTCCAGGTATCCAAGTCACCTCCTCTACAATCTGCTCTTGCCTGCTGTCACTGGCCATATCCATCATGCCCAGGGGACAAAAGAGCAAAGCCCGGGCTCGTGAGAAACGCCGCCAGACCAAAACAGAGTCCCAAGTGCCTGAGGATACTCAGACCACAGCAGCAGAAAAAAGAGAGTCATCCTCTTCCTCTGCCCATACCTCTGGAGTTGCTGTGGCAAGTACCACTTCTGATATCTTCTCCAAGTTATTTCAAGGAATGCCTCACGCCACTACTTTCAGTATCTGCATTGCTTGCAAAAGGTCTGATAAAAGTGACAAGAGCCAACGGAAGAAAAATGTGAGCTCCTCTAGAGCCCAGCACTCCAGTAAGAGCCCACAGAAAGATCTTCTAACAAGAAAGACAGGGATGCTGATGGAATACATGCTCACCAAATACAAACAGAAAGAGCCCCTGTTGAGAGAAGAAATGCTGAATGTTGTGAACAAAAGCTTCAAGGAGCAGTTCCCTGAGATCCTCAAGAAAGCTTCCAGCCGCATGGATCTGGTTTTTGGACTAGAGTTGAAAGAAGTCCAGCCACATGGTCAGTCCTACGAGCTTGTCAGCAAGCTAGATTTCCAGGATGATGGAAGTAGGAGCAGTGAGATGGGTCTTCCCAACAGGGGCATTCTGGTCCCCCTCCTAAGTGTGATCTACTTAAATGGCTACTGTGCTCCAGAGGAGGAGGTCTGGCACTTCCTGAATATGTTAGGAGTCCATGATGGGGTCCCACATCTCATCTTTGGAGATATCAGAAAGCTCATTACTGAAGATCTAGTGCAGGAAAAGTACCTGGAATACTGTCAGGTTCCAGACAGTGATCCACCATCCTATCAGTTTCTGTGGGGTCCAAAAGCCTATGCAGAAACCAGCCAGGTAAAGGTGATGGAGTTTTTGGCAAACATCAATGAAACTGGCTCTTCTACCTACCCATCTAATTATGAAGAAGTTTTGAGGGAAGAAGATAGAGCCCAGGCTGAAGGGGCAGCTGAGAGAAGCACTACATGTAAGATTAAAAGACCTTCTAAAACCAAGACCAGCCTTCCTACATGCTAGTGAGATTGAAGGTAGTCTCCACTACATGATTGAAAGAACCCATCAATTTTTGCTTTTGTGATGCTCAAATTAGTTATTCTTAAAGCTGTTTAGTGTTTTTTTTTTATCATAGTGCTCACTCAAAGCCAGAAGTTAAATAGGAAAAAATAATGTGTTAGAACATTTAGTTTAGAAAAAGTAAATAGATCATCCCTTCCTTGTTGCTTACCAAGTTGAGGGTTAAAAGTTTGATTTACTGTGAAATGTGATTTGAAATTTCATAGTTAACTTTGGTGATGTACTATAAGGTAATATGGAATTACAATCTAAATGCGCTTGAGAGTAGGAGAGAAAAGGAGATATAGAAAAAATAATAGATTTTCAGTTCATGTTTTGTTTTACTCCACACTTTCTTTTTTCAAACATATAAGAGATGCATACTTTCTTTGCTTGTGACATTAAAGATGTATAAGGAACTAAATCAAAGTAAATTGGATTTCTTCTTTAATGTTTGTATTTTACCAAAACACTTAATTAAACATCTGTTCTTGAGAAGTGTTACTGGATGTGTTTATAAAAATAAGATCCAATACTTGCCCATACAATGATAAATGTTGGAAGAAGCTCTTATTATGGAAGAAAGTCAAATGTGGTCTACTTTCTAAAAGAAGAAACAGCAGAATGTATACTTGAATAGAAAACAGGGCTGTGGTCTTTGTTTTTGTTTTTTCAGTTTTCATTTCTTTGAGACAAAATGGTTTTGCTGTTTCCTTTTTTGTTCTAATATTTTATTATTTTTAGTATTTATTTTTTCCTATTTTACAGATTGATCCCAGTTCCCTCTCCTTCCCTTCCTCCCTCCCTCCCTCTTTCCATCACTCCTTTGCCCCCCAACCATCCTCCCATTCCATTCTCCCCCACTCCACAGGGATGGTGGTGCCTTCCAGGAGGGATCAACCAAATCTGTCAAGTCATTTGGAGTAGGGACTAGGTCCTCCCTCCTGCCTCTAGGTTAAGGGAGTATCCCTCCATGGGGAATGTGCTCCCAAAGTCCTTTTGTGCAACAGGGATATATCCTTGTTCCACTGTCAGAGGTCCCTTAGATTGCCCAGGCATTCTAGCTGAGATCCATGTTCAGGGGGTCTGAGTTGGTTCAACACTTATTTCCCAGCTATCAGTCTGAGGGCCCATTGGCTCCTACTTGTTCAGGTCAGCTGTCTCTGTGGGTTTCTGTAGCCTGGTCTTGTCCTCCCTATCTGCATCTGGATTCCAGTTCAGCTCAGTGTTAACTGTGGTTGTCTGCTTCTGTTTCCATCAGCTACCAAATGAGGGCTCTATGATGGTGGATAAGTTAGTCACCAATCTCAGTATCAGAGAAGGGCATTTATGGTAGCCTTTCCACTGTTACTCAAATTGTTAGTTGGGGTCAGTCTTGTAGGTCTCTGGACATTTCTCTAGAGTCAGTTTGTTGTTTTCTTTCTGTCTTTGAGGCCCCCAGAGCTATATATTTTATGGCATCTCTTAGGATAAACATGAATAGAAGTAATCCCAGGTGGATACTACCAATGAAAGAGCTCAAAATGTTCACATTAGTGAGTGCCATCCTTTAATACATACTTACAAGACAAGTCAAACACGAAAGCCATAAACACATTCAACATAAATCTTGTTGGTCCAAAAAAAAGATGCTATTGAATTCACTTTGATTCACTTTGAGCATTACAGAATATCCAAAAGTTTGCAGGGATTGTATTATATAATTCATCAGAGTCCATGTTGGGCCCCTGATCTAGAGCCTATCAACTTATAAGCTGAAAACCCAAACTGAAGCTCTTATTTAAGTACTCCAATACACATCTTGATTAATGTAGAGGAGGATCTTGTGCCCAAATTATGGGATTAGAATCCATAGCTAAAGCAAGAAAAGAACGACCCAAAATAAAATGGAGAGCCTGCAAGATGGCTCAGCACCTTCCATCATGCCTGACAACCTAGCTTTGATCACTAGGACCCATGAGAACAGATATCCACAAATTGTCTTCTGACCTCCATCCCACATGCCTCCCCCCAAATAATGTGTGTTAATAGATAATAAATAATGAAATCAATTAATAAATGAAAAAGTGATTAATGACAGTGTGAATATTTACATTTGAAATGTTATATAACTTCAAGTGTTTAGGTACTTCAGGTCAGGATGGGGAATACATTATCATAGAGCAATTACCTAGCTGACATGTAGCCTTGGTTCATTCAACTCCCACTATGGACTTCTTATTTACTCTATAAAGGAAGTATCTTTGTGGCAGATGTTAATGTAGTTCTACCTACAAAAATCAAAGAAATAAACAATCATTTTAACATGTTTTTGTTAAGCATCCTGGATCTGCTGTCCATCTCACATCACTCCTGGCACAGGAACCTCTTCTTAAGAGGGTATATCAGGCTGAACTCACTCCAGACTTAAAAGCATTGGACATGTGCTAGAATTGTTCAATTGCAGAGACAAAGTTAAAAGATAGTGAGATATGAACACACCTTTAGAAGAATTGTGTGTAATGGAGAGAACTAACACAATTATTTTCCGACAGAGTGCCAAACAGAATTTCCAGTCTGATAAGTCTTTGTTTAAAAGACCTAAGGGCCTTGGGGACACCATGCTGATGTGAGGTGAGAAAGGAAGGCCAGGCTTTGATAGAAATTAACTAATGGACTGCAGTGAGGGTGACACGAGACCCAAGAAAACAGCACTGTTCAAATATGAACTTAAGGGAAATCAGATAATAATAACTTCAGAAAATGTCACTTCTGTATCCCTAGAAGGAAAGGAATAGGATTGTCAGGTTGAACTTTTCCTTTCTTTATAGGTGAGGTGGTCTCAAGTATAGGCTCTCCTTGGATTGATGAGCTTGGGGTCCATATGGAAGATATGGGATACTCAATGCCAGAGACATGGTTAAGGCGACAGGTCTTTCCAAAGAATCACAGAGATAAGTGTGCTATGTCATTTTTAAGAGAGGTCAGATTTCCAGACTGTACAGGCAATCTGCCAACTTGTTACACATAACAGGACATCACAGACTTCTATCAGTTCCATCTCGAGATGAACAGGGTAGTGCAAGGCTTAATTCTAGGATTGTGTCCCACAGCAACTGAAGTGGGAACATTGGTACTGACACTCATTTGTTACTACCATCATAGGGCTCGAATCTGTATGTCATAGTTTTCATTCTAGTGATACTATTGACAACTGTGTAAACAGAAAATAATCCACTTTGCCTCTTTCTACTGGATCTCAGGAAGTCACAGGCCTCATATACAGGACATATCTTACACTTCAGTTAGAGTGGAGCAGAGATAGATTGCTCAACTAGTAAATTGTGGCACACAAATGATCCCTGCGTATGTATTAAAGAAGCTAAGTGTGTCAACATGTTCTTGTAATAACAGTGCTTGGGTACAGGAAACAAAAGGTTACCTGGGACCTTCTGATAAGCCATCTAGTCAAATTGGTGGGGTCAAGCTTCAGTGAGAGACCCTGTTCTAAATCATAAGCTGGAGAGCAATTAGAGAAAACATCTCACATACACTTCTGCCATCAATTAAGACAAATGCAGGAACACATACAGCCCACCATTCTGTCAAAAGACTATCTGGGTGGGGACTGACATTCCCATTTATCTTTGACTACAAATGATAGAAATGTCCTACCCTGCTTTTCAACATCACACTGAAATTTATTTCATGTTAAGGCTTCATGCATTTCCTTCATATAATATCTAAGGGAAGAAAGAAAAATCAGTAAATAACAATTAGAAACTATAGCCAAGAGACAATATAAAAGATCCAGTATACCAGTGACTATACTAAGTATTGTCCATTCCTTGTACACCTAGCATCATCTAAAGAAGACAAAGCTCACCAAAGCCATTTTACACAAGTGGAACCTGAAGGTCAGAGAATTTGATAATACTCACACTTGATACAGTTGGCAAGTAACAGAGCTTGGACATCACCCAAGGTTTAGGTAATATAAAGCCACAATATTTTAGTTCTAAACTGAGACTTATTTGATTTTTCAATGTTTTTTATCATAACAAGCAAATGCTCTTATCTCAAAATATTGGGTGCAAGATCAAGAGAAATATGATCACCAAGGATTACATACTATAGGCCAGGCTGCTTTAGAACAACTCACAGTGTAAGCATGGCTAGCATCCAACTCTTAGTGATATTCAAGCCTTTCATTACCAAAGTTGAAGTTGTAGCTATGAACCAAACAAAACTGATTAACTGAAGTATGAAGTATGAAGAAGCCAAACAAGAAGACATTTATTGGTCACTGAATTATATATGTCTGTAATCTTACATAGTTCATAGTTTCAAAGGATCAAGTGTTAAAAAGCTGTATCTGTCTCAATCATCTAGTTTTGTTTGTTTGGTTGGTTGGTTGGCTGATTTTTGGTCTTTCAAGACAGGGTTTCCCTGTATTGTTTTTGAGCCTATCCTGGAACTAGCTCTGTAGACCAGACTGGCCTCGAACTCACAGAGATCCGCTTGCCTCTGCCTCCCAAGTGCTGGTATATAAAGGTGTGTACCACCAATGACCAGCTAATTGTGGCACGCCCCTGACCCGCAGGGGAAGAAGACCACCGACACGAGGATCCTTCTCTGATCACACTTTATTGAAGCGCTTCTTGATTGAGGGAGAGCTGGAGGTGAGGGGCACGCAAGCAAGGAAGGGAGTGGCTTATATCTAGGCAGGATGGGCGTTCCTTCCTGAAAGGACACCAGTCAGTCTGGGATTGGTGCATAGCTGTTGCCAGGTGCAAACTACCCGGAATAGTCTCTGACCGACTGCTTACACAGCCATCTAGTCCCACCGGGTGCAATGGCAACAAGGCCTCCAGGTGCATGGGCACTAGACTTCATCGGCCATCCAGTCCCACCGGGTGCAATGGCAACAAGGCCTCCGGGTGCATGGGCACTGGACTAGAGATCTTGGAAAATACTGATCCAAG